GAGGGAGGAGTCCATCTAAAGCTAGGAGGAGGAGGGATGGGAAAACTCTAACTGTGGCTACATGACTCCCTTTACTTTTTATCATTACCCCACACATTGAAGTAATCACCCATGGAATATCTTAAGGCTGGGCCTGAACGCCAACATATTCCTCTCCCTTAAGACATAGTTGATGAAAGGATCTTCTATGCATTGAAAAAATAGAGCTGGAACTGGAATTACTAAAATTGTTGCGGTTCTTTCATAGGGAAAAGAAATCCATGGGACTTCAAAGAAAGCCAGAGAAAGAAGAGGGAAAGACAATGGATTTCTTTAACATTGGTGTGCAGGGAGAAAAAAATCCAAACAATTGATACTTGATGCTAGCAAGCGTATAGTTCTCAAATCAGCTTATTACCAGCACTTTGAAAACTTATATGAGCAATTGCTTAAATCCAAAAACATCTGTTGCCCCACAGTTGCGGTTTCCAGAAAAGATAATTTTCTTCTCAGTCTTTTGAATAGTTCCTTAAACAAAGGCCAGATTTTTGAAAAACAGTGCCACTGAATTCAATACTTAGGGCACAGAAATCATTTGATAAGGCCAGGAGACCAGGGAACACCACCTATCTTTTGATGGCATCAAATACTTTCAGCACCAAAACAAAAATAAGTCACAAAATTGGTCTCTTTACGCTCCCAGGAAACAATCATGTTAAGTGAAACCTATTTCTGACACGTTTACTGCCCGACATAGGGTTGCCCTTTGATTAAAGAATGATGGGAAAATGTAAGGTACCTTTTAAAATCAGATTTAAGAAACCATATGTATGTGTGGGCTTGTGTGTTTTCTTTCACAGATTAACAATGGGGGGGGGGATTTCCCACAGTAATTTATATCATCTTCAGAACATCCTTTTTTGCCTCTCAAAATTCCTTGGATTTGCCTCCCAAACAGGAACTTCCTAATTTACCTTCTAATTTCCTTTTTACCAGGTGTAACTACTGCATGTCCAAACCATTAACAGCAAGTTTGTCTAGCACTTTTTTTCCCCATGCATAGACCTGAGGAGGAGCATCTGCAAGGTGATGGCAGCCACAATAGTATATTCAAAACCCCATCCATTTTTATATCTGCTGCTTGAATGACATATGTAAAAAAGGGGTGGGCTTTGATTGCATATATACAGCCACCACCTTGACTCCCCCTCCCCCATCCCACAGATGCCTCTACACATGCACACATACAAACTAGGATCCGATGTGCCTATTCAGAAGTTAAATTACTTACTTCCTGTGTGTCCCCATCCATAAACACTGCAAGTGGTACCATCTGGAATGGTGCAACCAGAAATGGGCAGGCGGATAATAGCTACAGCATTATTGCTTACTGCTGGCCTAAAAAAAAAAGTTTTTTTTTTTTACAGATGGAAATTCTCATAGGTAGGTAAATTTAAGGGAGACAGTCATGAGACAGGTTAGTTTTACCCTATTGATGATGTGTTGTTGTGCTAGCAATCCTGCTCACTATGAGAGGAACTGCATGTTCAGACTTTGGTCTATGTGTTTGGCTGAGGAGCCAAATGGGCGAAGCTACCATCCTGTGGGATCATGACTGAACATCTTCTAGGGGCATTGTCACATTATGGACTCCAGGGCATATGTAGAGTCAACGGGGTAGGTCTTCAATTGTGTGACTGTGACTGACAATTTCACTTTTTTGACACCCCTGGTTGCATACAACTTAAACCCTTCAGCTCCCATCAATAGCATGGTTCTACACTTCCACTGACTCCAGTGGAAGTGGTCAAGAGAGAATTGCCTATAAAATATTGGCGTAATTGCAACCAACCTGGAAAGTTTTAGCAATACTAGGTCTGATCCTTCAGGGCCATAGACCAATTGGGAAATATTCAGAACTTGTTTATGCTTTTCTTCATGAGCTCTTTCCACATTATGTATTCCAAGCCAAGCCTGATAGTCTTTGAGATTATGCCTAAAGAAAGCAAATTTCATTGGCAATTGGATTATGGGTCAATAAAAAAATAAACCAGGATGGAAGGTAGATTAGATATTATCTCCTCCATAGGCTACTTTATCTGCTTATTTCCTTTGTAATAATATACTTAGAGAACCACTGCTCAATTTAAAGAAAGGTAGTTAAAGTAGAGTCAGTCTCCCCTCTCCCTGCAATAAAATAAATCACTGAAACCATGAAGATGTTGCCATATTTTAGCCTCCAAAAGTGGAAACTGGAACTATTCCAAAGTTCACATTGTGAAAATGTGTCATCTGTACTAACCCCTTGAGTTTTTACTTTGAACATGCATTGAAATAACAACAGTAGTGCAAACAGTTTTAACCCTGCCATTATTGAAGAAAAACATGTTCAATTCCTAGGCATGCACTGGCTAACCAAAAAAAAGGAAACTTCTCTAGACAGAATGTAGAACATTTCCAAGAAAATTCACAAACTAAAATAAGTTTATGGTTCTACAGTCAAATGCTCTGAATGTTCCAGAGTTGCATCTAGATACATTATTATATAGAAGTTTGGGATATTTTAACATCCCCTCCCCCCGCCCCATTGCCTTTTTGTGATATCAGAAATTCAGCATTGATGCCACTCTTGTGTCAAAATTCAACTGTAAAAGATAGGATCCTATTACAAGCTCTTGTAAAAAGTGAAATAGATACCTAGAGAGAAAACACTGTTTTGCTGTCAGGACCCAATCTTCTTTCACCAGTGAACCTCCACAGAAATGTCTGCCTCTGCTGGAGAAACCAATGCATGGAAAAGTTACTTGGGGTCCAAACTCTAATATAAACTTCACATCTATATCATACCATTTGTACTTATTCCATTTTGCTTTAGACATTAGACATTAGGCTTTGCTCAGACATGGCTGGGAAAATGTAAACAGTGGATTGCTTATCTGATGTTAGCCAAGTGGGCAAATTTAATGATTGCAAAATTTAAGATGGCACTGCTAATTTGGATTAATGGAGAGAGCTAGACAATACCTAAGCCATTAGTTGAGACAGATTTGGAATGGTCCATACACCAACCTGAGAAACAATCCTTGAATAGTTGCTCCTCAAGAGGGGATAATTGGCTTCTTGCAGAAAGAATTTAAAGCTGCTATGCAATCCATAACTAGAATTTCTAGATCTCAAAAATCATTTGATGTAGGAATTTGTAATGTGACTTTATGACAATGGTGGGAATCAGCCTAGGGAAGAGAGCTATACCTCGGTTCTTACCTGTCTTTCAAACTAACCATCCATCCTTTGTCAGGTTGGGTAGGGATTCCATTAACAACTCTTAGCTGCTTAGTAGAAGCACAAGGAATGATGGCAACTGAAATATTCATAATTGATCAGGTTACATAATATCCCCACATGAAAACTCACCACATTCAGCAGTTTATAGAAATATGTTTAAACTTTAAAAAAAAATGAACAAAGCATTTTCCCAAAAATTCTGTAAGCTGTTAACCAACCTAATGATTTCTGTATTAAACTGTCTAAATCAGGATTTCTCAACCTCAGCAATTTTAAAATGTGTGGAATTCTAATCCCCGAAATCTCCCCCCCCCCCATCTGGGGGGGGGGGTTTTGGGGGGGGAGAGCGCCCATACAAAAGA